TGGAAGACTGATTCGACATTTTGGAAAATAAATATAAGTTATGAAAAGTTGGGAGTCACCACCAATCATTTTTAAGGTGAGATTAGAACACCTAAAATCAAGTAAATTTAATAAAACAATTTTATTTTATCAAAAACATCACATTTTGGTCTGCGAAATCAGAAATCGGTTTGAGAGTCAGTTATGTGGGAAAGGATTAGTACCTCCACAACGTCCAAAATTGATACCTAGTCAATTACCCTCTATTTTGAAATTGGAAATTTTGAGTTTAAACATTTATTTTAATTTAAAATCCACTATGTATGCATATTTTAAAAAAGGATGTCGATTTACCACGACTAATAATGACCACCCCCAAGAAAAAGAGGAAGCTTCATTACCAATCACAATAAATTGACATTGCCTTCATAATTTAGAAATCATGATGTGAGGTTTTGTTGAAATATATTTTGATATAACAATTAAAGCAAAATGTTTTTGGACTTGAATTGAATTTATTCAAAGTTTTCGAAAATAATTCAAAGTCCATTTAACTTGGAATTGAGCACAACATAATTTTCTAGACAAGCAGTACTGATACTGTTCTTACAGTATCGATACCTCATTAACAGTACCGATATTGTTCATATGGTATCGATATCAAAGGTAAGGGAAGTATCAATACTCACTAGGTAGTATTGATACTACCAGCTTTGGTCAAATTCCATAATGCAAAAATGATACTGATACCCAAAGGGGTACCGATACTACTTTACATAGTAGTATCGATACCGTTAGGCCAACAAGTAGTTTTATTTAAAAATATAAATGATGTACCTATACTCCCTATAGGAGTACTGATACCCTCTGTTCTGGGCATTTTGTTTTGCAGAGGAAAACATCCCCAACGGCTCTAAAAGACTCCCAACGATTAGAAACGACCATAACTTCATTCTAACATAGTAATACAAGTTCAAGACACTTGAAGAAGGGTTATAACACCTATCCAAGCAATCAAACACAAGAAAAGAATTTTCCATTCTTATTTTTCTGTTCTCTTGTAAATATTGTGTTTTAGTGAGCTTCAAATTGTAAACACCTACATTGTAAGGGTTTTCTTGTTTATATTTGTTTTCTTTTTGTAAAAAGGGGTTTGGTTCTAGTTTAGCCAATTGAAAAACTAGGGAGTGTAAAGGTTATCTCTTGATCCTGTATAAAGAAAACAACAAATTAGTGAATTTGTTAGAAAATCCTTGGTGAGGAGCTAAGGTGTGAGGTAGACTTAGTTGAGAAGTTGAACCACTATAAATCGATGTGTCAATTTTTCTATCTTTTATTCTCCTTACTCCCTAAATAAATTTTTACCTATTCACCCCTCTTTCACACTTTTCGATTGTTCATTTTAGCCTTTTCGATCCTAACAATTGATATCAGAGCATAACTAGTTAGAATGTTTCAGATCCTTGAGACGATCCTCGAAGAAGCTCTGCGGATTCCCGACACAGCCGATAAAGAGATGGCTTCAACCTTCGGTGCTTGTTACATGGAAGATTCTCAATCGGTCAACAAGCCACCCTACTTCAACGGAGCAAATTATGCCTATTAGAAGAATAAAATGGTGCTCTTCATTCAAGCAAATGATCTAGGACCTTGGAACTCAATCATGAAGGGTTACTCCACTCCACCCGATGAGATGGATGATTGGAGTGATGGAGATAAGAAGAAGTTCCAACTTAATGCTAAGGCTATACACATCCTCTTTTGTGCATTAGTTTCGGATGAATATGGAAGAGTCTCCTCTTGTTCCAATGCCAAGGAGATGTGGGATAAGCTCCAAGTCACTCATGAAGGAACCGATGAAGTGAGGGAAACAAGATAAGTTTTCTCAACCATAGCTACAAGAATTTCAAGATGAAACCCGATGAAGACATCAAAGCTATGGTGAATAAATTGTACGTGATTGTCAACAGTCTCAAGGGATTTGAAGAAGTAATCCCTAATGAGATGCTTGTGAGGAAGATGATCTAATCTCTTCCAAATTCTTGGCAATCGAAGAAGATGATGATTATCAAAACTAAAAACCTAAAGTCTCTCACTCTTGACGAGCTGTTTGGTTCTCTTCTCACTCATGAGTTGATGGTGAATGAAGAGGAAGAAGATGAAGAGAAACAAAACAAGAAAAAGGAGGTAGACATCGCCTTCAAGTCCACCAATGAGAGCTATCAAGATTCAAATGAAGAGGTGGATGAAGATGATGATGAAGAAGAAGAAGAAGAGATGGCCAAGCTCTTCAAAAAGTTCAAGAGATTTGACTTTAAGGAAGTGAAGCATGAATCGACCAAGAAGAAGAGTCCCTCAGTGTACTTCAATTGTCAAAGAACGGGGTATGTCAAGTATGAATGTCCTCTCCTTAAGAAGAAGGATCAAGCAAGAAAAAGACATTTGTGGCAGCTTAGAGTGATGAAGATGACTCAAATGATGAAGATAAAGTAGCCAACCTATGCTCATTGCCATCAGAGAAGATTCAATGGTATCTTCTAACTCAAATTAATTAAATTCACATTCTTTTGATGAGTTACAAGATGCTTATAATGAGTTGTATTTGGAATTTGAGACCATGAATTCCAAATATAAGAAATTAATTTCAAAACTTAAAGTTAAAAATGATTTGGTTTTGAAAGAAAAAGTTGATTTTGAAAATCAACATGAAATTTTTAAAAAATGATTTAGAGCTTTCAAAAGTCAAAATCAATGATTTAGAAAAAAAAATTGATTTGAAAGTTAAGCTTGAAAGCTTAACAAAAGAAAAAGAATTAATTTCTAAAAGCAACTCATTATGTTTAAAAATGGCAAAATGCTCACATTGCCATTTTCATGATCATCTAGAACATATTTGTCCTTTGAAGAAATGAAAACATTTTAAAATTAGACAAGTATGGGTTCCTAAGGGAACAAGGGGCATTGATACTAACATTCATGGATCCAAAGCAATTTGGATACCAAAATCTACTTAAATGTCTCTTGTAGGTGTGTGGGAGCAATGGTGATGAAAGTGAAGATATTCAAATGCTCTAGCCATACTTGAAAACAAATGAGTAACCTCTAAGCTTAATATAACATCCCAAATACCGAGTTAGTGACCAAATTGCAAGATTTCAGAATTTCATTATCAAATTAGATAAATTGAAAAGTTTAGGGACTTAATTAGAATATTTTTGTGCATAATTGAATAGAAAAGAAGGAAAGTTGGAAGGGTATAATGGTCATTATATAAGAAAATGAATTGAAAATATCCTAAGTGGAGTATATATGAGGGAATAGGAAAAGAAGAAGTATTTGGAAATATTTTCTTCTTCCTCTTCCTTTAGCTAAGTCATGAGCTCATTTCAAAGGTGAGTTTCGTACAAGTTAATTGTTTCTTTAATTTTAAGTTTGGTTCTTGGTCTTTGGGTGTTTCATAAATTTAAGGAAAGCTTATGGTTACTAAAAACTCAAAGATAGATGAGTTATGAGAGATTGATTATAAAGGGTTTTTAAGTGAATTGTTGAGAGAGAGTTTATAAATGTAATTAAAAGTCATATTTGACTTGTCATCATTTAGAATAAGAGATTTAAGTGGTTAGAAAGGATTAAAAACCAATTTGAATAATTGGTATGATTTTTGGTTCTAAGTGTTCTTTGAGAATTTTGGATGTTTAAGTGTGTTAAAGAGTTGTAAGTTAGTCTTAATAACTATGCTATGGTTTAAAGGTTTGAAAGTGGTTAAAAGTAAGAGTTATGGATGGGTTTGGTAAAATTTCAAAATGGAGAGGTGATTTATAGGTAAGGGGTATCGGTACTGTATGAACAGTACTGATACTTCAAAGTAAATATAGGTGATGTTTGAGTTTGGGTATCGATACTAGATGAACAATATCGATACTTGTTGCGTGTTGTGAGTACTATAAAATTATATGCAAATAATGTGCAAGTATACACAATCGCTCAAGTAATAAAGTGATGAGTGAGTATCGTATCCTCAGGGATTGGTTGAAATTATAAAAGTCTAACCAAAGCAAAGCACTGCTCTATCTAAGTATAGTTAGTGTTGATATACAAATGTCACGTTAATGGAGAGTGTATGTTGATGAATATGGATTGATGGTCTGATGGTGTAGCAAATGGAAATACAGTGGCAAAAAAACAGATTTTTAATGTTGAAAATGATGTAATGTCAAGGCAAGGAAAAATAGTAAAAACAGTAAATGATTTTGTTTTTGATTATTTGGTTGCTCATTTAGTTTATGCATGCATGGTTTTGAACTTAAATGATTTTTAAACATAATCATTCTCTTGTGGCATAACTATAATGTTTAACTATGTCAATGAGACATATGATGACTGACTGATCTGAATAACAAATTCCATCCACGGATTTTTGTGATTTCCTTTGACTGTATTGAAAAAATGCCTTTTATAAGCTTGCTGTAATTTTTCAAATCTAGCTTCTTTACTTGTGGAAAGTTATCAAATAAATTATTTAAAGATGTAGGACATGCAAATTGGAAGTGCAATAAAATGTGGTTTTCTGCGGGCATTGAAGGGGGTTAGATGATGTCGTTGGCAATTTTTGTTGTTGTTGTTAGTAGATCTGCTCAGGATTCTTTGGCAATTTTGTACGATGGGTGTCCACTATCTTGCTTTTCTCTTCCCTGTTAAATAAGCTGGTGTCTTTTGTTAATGTCTTGTTCGGAAGTCATTTTGTTTGCCTCTTTGCCATTGCAATCCATTTGGCATGCATTTTGTTGTGCCTTATAAATCAGAGACTTAAAACCAAATATTCCCTGCAAACTGGCAATAATTAACTAGAAGTTGCAGTCGTTATAGTTTGTATATTTATTAAAGTTCATTAAGTTTGCCCAAAGATTAAAGATTTTCATATCCTGTGATTATGAGGCTAGGTTTCATTGATTTTCTCTGAGTTACATCCTCCTTGTGGCCTCCGTTTTGCCATCTTTAGATCTCATGTTCAAGTTATGGAATGAAAGTATTTAATGTATAATCGTTTCATTTGACTTCTGTGCCCAACTTTCTGTTTACTTTTGACTTTTAAATTCAATACAAACTGATGTCAGGCTATTTATTACAGGCCCAAGAAGGCTTCTATTCCGTAATACGTTGGGTCGATTTCAAAGTGAAGAGGTAGATACCCTGTTAATATGATAGAAGTTCCCTTACTTAGTGGAACTATAAGTAGACTGTTTGCTTGCACTATATCTGCTGCTTGACCTGCCATTTTGAATTCTTTCCTAAGCCAAAGCAAAAACCTCAGGTTCTAGACATTATGTGTCTTAATATAAGGTTCGATTCTAAGCTCTCATATACATTGCCTTTCTGCTAAAATTTCATGCAGGCAAAATTTCTTAGGGCTGAGAAGAATGTAAAAGAGTTAAATCTATCTGTTGATTTGATGAAAAAGGAGAGCAGTAAGCTGCTTGAAAGGGCAACTCTTGCAGAGAAAATGGATATGAAGCATGGCCATGAAGAGCTCTTGTATGTAGTATGAATTTCTTTAATGTTCCTAAATTATCACTATTTTTCATGTTTAACTATTCGAAGTTGTATGTGTAGGAATACCGGAGGTCGAATTCACCATCTCGCCAAATCAGTTTACAAGGTTGAGGCTGAAGCTGCAGGTATTGTCAAAGCTCACCTTTTCTTTATATTTATGTATATATATATAGATTGTTATCCTTTGATAAACAGTTGTTGCCATGTTGGGCCTTTCGGAAGCCTTGACTGAGTTTGACTTCCCATATCTATAGTTTGTCATTAGTTATGTTTGATGAAACTGGTGCTTTCAAACATCTTGTTTCCCCTGGCTTTTTTCCTCTCAATACAGTGAAGAAGGATCGTTTGTAATAGGAAGTTTAGAAACTGAAGTTTTGCATAAATCATTCTAGTATGTAGCTTTAATGTCCAGTCTCCTATAATCTCCTTTAGACTATATCGCTCGGTAAGCCAACAGTTGCACTTAGATTGGTCTCTGGTCAAGTAGGCTGCATGAACTTGGTGTCGACATCACGATACACCTTGCAATTCCAATTGCCATCCTTATCCACACGTGGCATAAAGTCTTGCCATTTATAGTTCTAATACGGGTTAAAGAACGGGAACTGGTAGATTCTACCGATTGTTTTTTAAATATTGCGAGGGTGATATTTGTATCTTTACAGTTTGTTTAATGTTCTTTATAGATTTGATGGATGGACTGCGAGAAATCCCTGGCAGGGACGCATTGAAACTACGAGCAGAGGCAAGTCGTGCATTTTCTTGATTATCTTTGCAGGGCTTTTGCAGTTTAGAAACTTATCCATTGATGTCGTTAACGTTGAACTTTTATATTAGGTTGCTTCGATTGCATCGCAGCAGAGGGTTTCACTTGACAAAAGGGTGAGGAAGATATCTGGATTGGGGATGCCCGTTTGATGATATTATTGGTGTTGGTAAGTATCTTTGAACTGATGCTGCATTTTAGAGATCCATGTTACTCATCGAGCTCGAATAAAATTCGGCCAAAATAATAATACAAGTACAATTTTGAATTACGTCATACGGTCATTTTCCCCACTTCATTTTTTGATGTGTATGATTCTAAAATCAAAACAAACATTTTATAATAATTATTATTTTATTCTTTTTGATTTTGGTATCATTGAATTACCCATGATTTTGTATACTGTTTCTTTCATCCTTTTCCTTTTCCGGAGCCGCTGCTTTTGCTGGCCATTATCCTTCTCCATGCCGTGGCCAACACATTTTGGCTGTGACCAGGCCTTGTCTTCATTTCCTTTATTATATTTAGTTATTGAAAAATAAGATTATTATAAAGTTTAAATAATATTAAAATTTCTCACACTCATAATGCATGTGAAATAAAGCAATTTATATAAAAGACAACATTTAACCAAAATAGGCCCACACCATAGGCAAAAGAACTAAACTACAGAAAACAAGGATTTGAAAAATGGCTCTTGGTGCACAAGTAGAGAAGATAGCCATGAACACCAATCGTCCTCGAAGGGCATAAGAAGTAACACATTATCAAGCAATCCCAATCTCAAAAGACAAGATGGGATCCACAAAGCCAGCCTCGACGCTCAAGCTTCGCAACTAATCCACAAAGCCATCACCAAACAACAATGGTTATCCATTAACACAAAGAAGCCAAGTAAAGCAACCAATACCAACTTTACTTCAATAATTTTGTGTTTGATCTTCAAATTATCATTTTTAATTTATTTATTTAATAGTATATAAAAATATGAAATGATAACACCATTATAATAACATCTACATTAATATTAAAAAAAAGTAACTATTGCTTTTTTTCTCTAAACTGAGTTGATATCTGACTAATCACCAATTCAATTAAAAAATTAATAAATAGTATAGATTTTGACGAAAATAAAATAATATCAATATCACATAATCCTATGACTTAAAATTTAGAAGTTCAATTATCTCAATTAATTAATTAGTTTTATATTTTTAATAAATTCACTAGAATTATTCAAATTACCTTTTTGATGCTTGTATTAGATTTTTTTATAAAAAAAATCAGTATCACCTAATCTTATGATTTAAATTTAGAATTTAATCATTTTCAATTATTTAATTACTTTAACGTTTTCAAATTATTTCACTAAAATTCTTCCAATTACCATTTTTATGCTTATATTAACTTGAACCATACAAGTTGAATTTCCTTTTTAATTAGGTTAAGATATTTGATCTTGATGAATGAAAGGTTATAATGCAAGTTAATATGAGGAAATAGCGAGAGAAAATAAATAAAAGTCTAGTGCAAATATAGGAAAGGGTTGACATGATTATTTAGTAATAAGAGGCACATAGCAGCCAAATACTTGGGAGTTGTTGATCAAGTTGAACTATGTATAAGATTTAGGCTTGGGCAATCCCTCGACGATACCATAAAGTAGAGTGCTATTGGGGATGTTGTACTCATCCCTGAGTGATTTTTCGAGAGATAAAATACTGGCATAGAATTGTTCCCCCAAGTAAGTCCTCTCCCAAATCTCCGATCTGATGTTCCACATGCTCGCATTGTCAAACGTCAAAAGGATTGCAGCACGACTTAGGGAACACTTGTATCGTGTGCCTGCTAACTGCATCTAGAAGATTGTAGTTCATCCTCTTATAGGGGCTCCGTGTCCTATTAGATTTTTTATTTACTAAATGCCTCATCATCTTCATTTCCCAATTACCACATATATAGCATTTTACAATACCTGCTAGAATGTTCTTAGCTGGCACATCCTTCCTAACAACCAAATAACACCTATTTGTTATTCACTACTATTCTCATAATATTTAACATTCTCCCTACTGTCTATGAACTCTAGAACTTTACAATAGATTTTGAGATTGTAGCAAAACAAGGAGAAATAAGCCCGAGACAAAGACTTGGTGAATCCATCAGCTTTTTGATGTTGAGCAGGAATGTAATTAACTCGAACTTTATCGAGCAACAACCTTCTCCCAAATGAAATGGAGGTCTAATTCAACATGTTTTGACCAAGAATGCATAACAGGATTGGCACTCATCGCTATCGCGTTGGTATTATCACTCCAAACAACAAGAGTGCTTGATGGCGGAATTCCCATATCTGTCAACAAAGCTTGAATCCAAATAACATCAGCTAAAACATCCGCTAACGCACGATATTCAGCCTCAGTAGTCGACCGAGAGATTGACCATTGACGCTTGGAACCCCAAGACACTAGATTACCTCCAAGAAAAATGCAAAACCCGGATATCGAATGATGATCATCAACATTGCTTGCCCAATCGACATCCGCAAAAGCTACCAAGTATAGACCCAATCCTGTCTTTTGAAACACTAGACCATAATCAAGTGTCTCACACAAATAACGCAAAATGTGTTTCATAGCCACCCAATGTTGAGTACAAGGCGTATGCATGTACTGAGCTACACGATTGACACAATATGCAATGTCAGGTCGCGTATGATTTAAATATAGAAGGGCTCCAACAACGCTCCTATATAGTTGAACATCTTGTAACAGACTCCCTCCAGTACGTTATAACAATTCTAGAATAAACTTCTTTTGTCGTAAAATAAGCGAATGATTCATCCGCTGAACTTCAAGTCCTAAAAAGTAGTTTAAGTCCCCCAAATCTTTTAGAGAGAATTCTTGACTCAACTATGATATAACACTTTCAACGTCAGTCTCATATTGCCCCGTAACTATGATATCATCGACATAAATGAGAACATAGGAGGCATCAGCTTGTGTCCCATGAAACCCAATTCGACCAAGAAAATCACATAGTTTCGCATACCAACTTCGTGGTGCTTGTTTAAGCCCATACAACGCCTTTTCAAGTTTACAAACAAGTCGTGTGCCATCAACAGCAAGCTATTCAAACCCGGGAGGTTGCACCATGAACACCTCCTCTCGTAAGTCCCCATTAAGAAACGCATTATTCACGTCAACTTGTCGCAATTTACACCCATTCATAACAGCTAATGACAAAACAATCTTTACCGTGGAAGGTCTAATAACTAGGCTGAACGTATCATTAAAATCTTGTCCCGGAATTTGAGCAAAACCTTTCGCTACTAAACGAGCCTTATACCTCGCAACAGACCCATCAATATTTTTCTTCATACGAAACAACCACTTACAGCCAATTGTCGTTCGACCAGGAGGTAAAGACACCAACCGCCATGTACTCTTACCAATTAGAGCATTATATTCATCCATGACAGTATCTTTCCACACATGGGACAATAAAGCTTGTTCAATAGAAATTGGTTCTTCATCATCAATTACGGATTGAACCGAGAAGACTTTGGGTTTGAAGATCCCATCCTTACTTCTCGTAACCATATAATGAACATTTGAAGAAGAGGGACAAGAAGCAATACCAGATGAAACAACCATGTTAGAACTATTGTTGTGGGAAGACATTTGAAGAGCCGAATCTGCAACAAGAGTGGAGTGCTCAGGAACACGCAAATCACCAGAACCGTCAGTTTGCCTAGGAGAGATTGTGTGTCTCGCGGATCCATCCACATTATCACCAGACGCAACATCAGCATCAATCTCAGCAGAATTCATCTGTTCGTTCACTCTATGATATGAGCTACTAGTATGAGAAGTAGATGATTCATTTTCACAATGATGCAACGTTGAGCATGGTGGGACTGCTTGATTATTGAGCACCTTGTTGATGCCATGAACGACATCAATAATGGCAGACGGTTGTAAATTATTTGTTGGATATGGATGAACAGCAGTAGCTTGACCTGTAAACGGGAAAACACTCTCATCAAACTGCACATGCCGAGAAATATAAATTCGACCACCAGGTGCAAGACAAAGATAACCCTCATGTTGAACACTATATCCAAGAAAAGTACATGCTTGTGATCGATACTCAAATTTGTGAGATTGAAACGAACGAAGGCACGGAAAACATCTGCAACCAAAAACACGTAAGTGTTCATACTTGGGGCGACGACCAAACAACTTATTAAACGGTGTTGTCCCGAGAAGCACCTTCGTAGGTAACCTATTAATGAGATACACCGCAGTGGTTATGGCATAAGACCAATATTTCAAGGGTAACGAAGCTTGAGCAAGCAACGTTAGTGCCGTATTAATGATATGTCGATGTTTTCGCTCAACAACAACATTCTGTTGAGACGTGTGAGGACACGTGAGCCGGTGTCGTACCCCATCCTCTTGAAGAGCCTTGGTATATGGACGAAACTCACCACCCCAATCACTTTGAACTTCTTTAATCTCTCAGCCAAACTGAACACGAACCATGCGTTGAAACAAGCGAAACGCATACAACGCTTGAGACTTCTCCTTCAACAGATACACCCACATAAACCTTGAATAAGCATCGACAAATGATATATAATATCGATATCCATTTGATACCACATGAGGTGGTCCCCATAGATCGACATAAACCAACTGAAAATGTTCGCTATATACTGTTTGAGAAGCAGAAAACGGTAGAGAGTGAGATTTCCTAACTTGGCAAGCAGTGCAAATTTCATCATTAACCAATGATAAACCAACATTACAATCTTTACAAACTTGTTGTAACGTATCACGGGAAGAGTGTCCTAATCGTCTATGCCATAAACCAAAATCAACTATGCCATGAACAACATTACATTGAGTCGGCACATTATTATTAAACAAAGTAGAATTAAACTCATAAAGTCCATCTTTCTCTCGTCCTTCAAGCAACACTGCCTTCGTATCCTCATCACGAATCACGCATCTACGAGCATGAAATTCAAGAAATACTTTATTATCACGAGCAAGTTTGGAGACAGAAACTAAGTTTTTGGATATACTAGGAACAAGTTGCAAGTCATTTAATCGTAAAGAGCGAGTAGACGTAACCAAGCTAGATTGACCGACCTTAGATATTGATAAACTATTACCATTACCCACAAGTAACTTACCCGTGCCAGTATACTCTTCACCCGCAACAACATTAGCCACATCCGAGGTTACATGATGAGAAGCCCTAGAATCGACAACCCATTTCCCTGATGGGCGAGAATTCCCAGAACCTCCAGTGCTAAAATGTTGACCACATTTAGCCATCATAGCAGAAACGGTACCATCCCAAGATCCTTGGTGAACACAGCCATACCTATGAGTAGATGCAACTGTGCACACGTTAGCAGATGGGGAATTATTTGGTGCCATGGCCTTGTGAGAAGTAGAAATCCCACGAAAGCTCTAGTTAAACCTATACCAGCATCGGTCCACTAAATGGCCAACCTTTCCACACAATTGGCATTGAACCCAGGGCTTAGCACGACCACGACCTCCTTAATATGAACCAGAGCAACCCAGATTCTGCCCAGGTGCTTTAACCAACTCTGACCCTGAGGAATCATTCACCGTCAGTTTTGCCATATTAGTACTGATAGAGAAACTGTCAGCTTCCTCAAAACCGAGTTGTTGAACTTCTGCATCAATCAGAACTTAAACTACTCCATCTAGAGTGAACGGTTCCCAGCTGGCAGTGATGATAGCAACAAACGGACGATATTCGGATGACAATCCATTCAAGATCGTCGCAATTTGTTCATACTCGGACACCGGACTTCCACAAGCCGCAAGAGCATCACACAACTCTTTAACCTTAGTGATGAAGTTGCGCATACTCAGATCCTCCTTTTTTATAGCTTTCAGTCGATAATGCAGGTTCATTATCATTGTCGTAGAACTGCTTGCAAAGAACTTGGTAACGGTGGACCAAACTTGCGCAGCGGTGTCAGTGCCAACCATGTGTGGTAGAATCGAGGGTGACATCGTGGATAATAGCCAAGAAGCAAGTGCACTATCCTAGGCAACAAACACTTCATAAGCTTCATTCTCAACATCAGCCCCATCTTCTAAAACCACCGTCTCCGGCTGAAGAGTGACCGTACCGATAAGAAACTTCTCGAGTCTATGGCTCCTCACAGATAGAAGCACTTGCTGCTTCCATAACAAGAAGTTATGCTCATCCAAACTACACTAAGTCTTTTGTTGGTGAAAGCTTTCTGAAGTCCCTCCTATGAAGTTTCCTTATCAGCCATGGCACGAGAAAGAAACGACGAGAAAATCCAACAAAGAATTAGCTACTGGAACAAAACTCTCCAGACCTCAAGACTACTGATACCATGTTAAATTTTTTATTTACTAAATGCCTCATCATCTTCATTTCCCAATTACAATATATATAGCGTTTTACAATACCTACTAGAATGTTCTTAGCTGGAGCAATTACACTAGGCTTGCCTTGCTGGCACATCCTTTCTAACAACCAAATAATAACCTATTTGTTATTCACTGCTATTCTCATAATATTTAACATGTCCCTGGCTCAACGGCCACCGCGAAGAACGAGTACCCGTCCAAGTGGTATGACCGCAGGCTTTTCTCGTGGTTCTCAACAATGATCTCCACGAGTTACGAAATGTCATATTGAGGACATTTGGTTGTTCGATGAGGTCTGTGGTGTTTTCTGGTTCATCCTTCATCACATCATATTTGAAAACCTTGTCCGCCATGTTCAAGTATTCGCAAGCTTCAGGGGAGTGGCTGAGTTAACATGAGAGACACCATTAAAGTCATATCGAAGCTTACCATTGGTTTAGCAAACACCGTTCACCAGCTTGATAGAGCAGGTGATGTTAATAGCACCGTAATGGTAGGATCCTTGAGGATTTGGCCTTGAAGTACTGGCAGTAAGATTCCAACGGAAGGTACGGAACTGATTCAATGACCAAGCCCAACCAATAGGAGCAGGAGGAAGCTCGGGTGAGGCTTCACCCTTTCCATTGGTGTAGCTAATGATGGCAGTGCTAGTCTGGACTTCCTTATGAAATCGGGTGGATGCTACAATATAGTAGTCCTTAGGGGCTTGGTCGGCAGTAACAAGAACTTTAAAAAATTGCCTGTTATGTACATCCAAGGAATCGTACAAGTTATGGACGATTTGGGAACCCTCCATTTCCATAAGTTTCATCGTGTGGCCTTGGATCCTGAAGTTGATGGAGGCATTGTGTCCTACATTGCAGATCCTATACATGTACGTCTTGTCAGGCTTCATGGTGAAAAATGCTTCTTGTTTGGCTCCAACTTTGCCAGCTTTACCGTTAATAAGGACACCATCAGGCCTGCCCAAGGGACGACCTCTATTTAAGAACCCCCTCAGTTGACAAAAGGGTGAGGAAGATATCTGGATTGAGGATGCCCTTTTGATGATATAATTGGTGTTTTGGAAGTATCTTTGAACTGATGCTGCATTTTATAGATCCCATGTTACTCATCGAGCTCGAATAAAATTCGGTCAAAATAATAATACAAGTACAATTTTGAATTTCGTCATACAGTCATTTTCCCCACTTCATTTTTTGATATGTATGATTCTAGAATCAAAACAAACATTTATAATTATTATTTTTTATTCTTTTTGATTTTGGTATATGTAGAAGCGGTTTTTTTTCCGAAAGGGAAAAGAGGGTCCTATTTTGAAATATTTTTTGGTGACCAGTTAGTGATAAAATGTGGTTCGATGAGTCACCATCAATATTTGATTAGTGTGTGATTGGGCACCCAAAAATAAAATTTTCATTTTAATAAAATATTAATTTTAATTAAAACGACAAACTTGCGGTATGCGTTACCAAAAATTGATTTCGGGAGTCGGTTACATGTGGGGAAGGATTAGTACCCCCACAACACCCTAAATCGGTACCTAGTCGATTAATTAATTGTCTTTGCAATAAAAATTACAAGTTCGAGTTTATTTTAATTTAAGATCCCCTAAAATAACGTTCTGTGAAATTTTGGATGAAAGATAATAATATTTAATTATTTCCTATCGAGAAGAGTTGATTTCTCATACCTTAAAGCAATCGATTCTTACTTCAATCGAAATAAAAAAATATTAAAATTTCATTCTAAAGTCCACTATTAATTCAAAATAATAACACCCAAAATAATTATAAGAGTAAAAACGATAATATCTAATTATTTTCAATCGAGAATAAATGACATTTTATGTATTAAAACAATCATTTATTACCCTAATTGAAATAAATTGACATTACTATTTCGCCTTAAAATTACAAAGCGATTCGAATGAAAACGATAATATCTAATGATTTCCAATCGAGAATAAATAACCTCTCATACCTTAAAGCAATCATTTATTACTCGGACTGAAATAAAAGGATATTACTATTCTCAATGTCGATTCGAATGTTATTGTTTTGAAAATCTATTGGAAAACACACACAAAAATAAAACAAATAAAAAACATAACAAACAATAAATAAATAATTTACTTTACCAATATTTAATGAGAATAAGGATGTTCAATTATTTAAATATCTCGAGACGAGGCCTTAGGTTCGATATAATAGTCTTTTCTCGATGAATTTAATTAAAATAACATTGTCTTTTTCTCAATCCCCGAATTTTAAAAATGAAATCGGTTTAATTTGTGTCACTAAATGTGATAAACTTTTATTTTATAATTATCGAAAGTAACTTTTTTATACGTTAAGACAATCACTTTATGACAATATTAAAATGATCGAATATTACCCTTAGTCAATTTATTTTGATGCGAGTCAAGTGATGCTTATGAGGGTATCATGCGAGATTAATTAGGACTAAAATGAACTAATATGCAAACAACATGCAAAAATTAAAATAAAATAAAAGTAGGGCTAAAACATAAATAATCAAATTATCATGCCAAAATTAACATAAAATAAAATATACAAGTGTCTAAATAAACAATTTCAATATTAAATGCTAAAATTACAATAATGAAAAATAAATAAAACATGGGGCTAAATTAAAATAAATTAAAATTACTGGTCGAATTAAAAATAAATAACAAAACCAAAATACAAACATGCCAAAATATAGGGATATTTCATAAATATTCCAAATATTTTAGCCTAAAATATACATTCGAATAAACAAGGTAAAATTACAAAATCAGTCCCTAAATATTTAAAGAAAAATTAAACAGTCACTACAAGATTGAAAAGCAAAACATATAAACAAGCAAAGGCTAAACCGAAAATAAACCTAAAAATATAAAATATGCATAAAAATGGGTAAATTATAGATAAGGTCCATAAGAGTGACTAACATGCAAAAACACACTAAAAGTAGGGGGACTAAACTGAGATTAGACAAAAAATTGTAAATCATGAATAAATATGGGAAAATAACAAAAATGGTCCCTTCTAGTGACCTTGTAAAAACGCGCTAAAACTCGGGGGACCTATGTGCAATTTCCCCTAGATTCATCCTATAATTCAACTTAAGATTTTTTTTATTTCATTTGAAAATCGAAACTAAAAAGAAATTCATTCTCTCCCTCCTCTTTCTTTTTCCCTCGGCTGGTCGCCATACCTCGCCTCCGACCGCCGTCTCGAAGCTCCGAATTGAACCCAAAACACTCTAGACCCTCCGATCTGCTCTTCTAGACCTAGATCCAAACTTAAAACACCTTAAAAAGTTGCTTATGCGCCCCGAAAAGCTCCCTCAACCCTTTGGCTACCCACTTTTCGACGACCTCAAAACTAACTAAAATCGAGCCTAAGCCCTCCCAAAATCTCTGATCTAACCTCCTAAGCACAGCCCCAACTACTCCTTCCTCAGGTAACTACAAATCAAACCCTTTTTCTTTGATTTGGTGTTACATGCAAGTAGTTTTGGGTTCCTTTTTTTGTTATGTTTCGAAAACTGAAAGTAAAATAAAATAAAAAATTATACCTCGAAAGTTTGGTTTTTTTTGCTTTTTATTCGAAATTGAGAACCCTTTTTATAGTTTGACGTTCGAGGTTTTATAGCCCCCGAATATTACATATTTTTTGTTGCTTTTCTTTGCTTGTTTGTTGCTATAAAATGATTACAAAAAAAAAAGCCTTGTGTGTTGGTTTGTATTTGTGGTTGCTTGTTGATATGTAATCTGACATGACAGGAGACTCAGCGCGTGGTTGGTAGTAGCGTTGGTGGAAAACTACAGGTGGAGATGGGCGGCAGCAGGTAGCAACAACTGGCTCGATCTTGCTGGATAACGACGGCAAATGGTTGGAAATGAGATGAAGAAACCCTAGTGGGTTTAGGCCCCAAACGGGTCTCGGATCTGGTTAAACCAGGGTTTGTGATGCTTTTATTATATATCTAGGCTCGGATCACTCCAATTTTCTTACGTTGTTGTATTTTGGATCTGTAAACAATACTATTATGTTAGTATTTTTAAATAATAATAACGGAACGTATCATTGAATTGCCCATGATTTTGTATATTGTTTCTTTCATCCTTTTCGGGGCCACTGCTTTTGCTGGCCATTATCCTTCTCCATGTTGTGGCCAACACATTTTGGCTGTGATCAGGCCTTGTCTTCATTTCCTTTATTACATTTAGTTATTAAAAAATAAGATTATTAAAAAGTTTAAATAATATTAAAATTTCTCATACTCATAATGCATGTGAAATAAAACAATTTATATAAAAGACAACATTCAACCAAAATAGGCATAAAAACGAAGGCCCACACCATAGGCATAAATGAGGAAGAAAGCAAAAAAGAAAAAAAATCACAAGAAAAATGAGTCAAACAGTTGGCCAAACTAATTATTTCGTTTGACAAAACAATACATTAATCGATTTAACATGAAACATTGATATTCTATTACTCCAATAACATTTGTTAATGAAGAATGATTGATTTGTTGATGGAGGCTTTGAGTCCTACATTGCAGATCCTATACCTGTATGTCTTGCCAGGCTCCATGGTGAACAATGCTTCTTGCTTGGCTCCAACTTTGCCAGCTTTACCATTAATAAGGACACCATCAGGCCTACCCAAGGGACGACCTCTATCTAAGAAGCCCCTCAGTTCCTTGTGGCTCTCGGTACAATATAATCACCAGTAGGTTCATCATAAGGGATAGGAATGAGCGCACGACTGTACACCTTAAGACCACCAAAACCACCAATGCCCTATGCATTGCCGTGGACGGATAGTAGATGTAGCTATCAATCTGGTCCTTCACCTGGAAATGATATGTGAAGTTGGTTCCTGGGACAATCAGATAATTAGTTTCGAGCACTCCATCTTGCCAAGAAATTTTCCTCTGTTGGATTCCGCTCCATGTGAAAAGGAAGGGCTCATCAAGATGGTTAAACACATTGATCACAATATTATTATTAGTAGTTGAGTTAATATTGGGCCCTGGGTAGGGGTGTAAACGAGCCGAGTCAAGCTCGAACTCGAAAACTTTAAATGTAGGCTCGACTCGACTCGAAAACTCACGAGCCTAAAATTTTCAAGCTCGACTCGAACTCGAAAAGGCTCGAACTAAAAAAAAATTCAGGAGCTCGATTAAAGCTCGAGACTCGAGCTCGATTGAAGCTCGATTTTGAGCTCGAACTCGATTCAATCTCAAACTCAAACTCGAATTTGAAGCTACAAAAATATTATATTACATTTAAAATATATAAATAATTTTTCCTTTAATCAACCATCACCAATACATTTTTTATGATAATATGAACTCATTTCAAAAGAAATATATTAAATGCATTCAATGTGGATCCAAGTTCTTCCCTGAAAGCTCACTTGTTTTCGAAGTTTGATAACCATTTAAGGTAGGTTGCTCCGAAATATACATTTACAAAAGGCCTATATAGAATATCCGGATCCTCTTCAACTTTGTACAATGAAATATGACATTCCCTACAGGAATTTTCAAACTAGAACTTCATAATCCAAAGCAGGGTTAGCTTAGTTCCAGTGCAGCTACACTAGAAAATATAAAATTGTACCTGACCAACCACTCTGCAGTTGTTGGGAAAATCTGCATGATTCCTACTTTAGTGACCTTGGCTTTCTTATCATATTGCATGGCAAGAGGCTGTCTATTACTTTCAAGTTCTGCAATAGCAAAAATCATCTCCTGCAGAACATTGAAAAAAAATCCCAAACTTTAATAATTAGATGTATAATAACTTCAAATCTTCTACAGATTATTCAAGATGTAGTATATGTTCTTAGTGGAGCATATACAGACCAACTATCTGGTAGCTTATTGAAGCAGCCTTTGTTAAATATAAGTAATTAGTTATGCTATGTGTAGAACTTGAATTAAGTATAGTACAATACACACATTATTAAAGTTCCACTCTTTATTTGCTTGAAATAAATGGTCAAAGCCTATAGCTTGGACAAAGCTACCATACAGGGCCAATCAAACAAATATAGAGGAAGGGGGAGAGAGAGAAATGGAAAAGTTTCTTATAAAAATGATAGATTTGAAAACCTGGCAATTCATCTATATATAGTATCATTTTCTTGTATTTTTGTGGTGTCATAATCGTGTTAAAATATTTTATATTTATATAAATTTTGATACGTTAATAACTTGTATTATATAGATTTCGAGAATTTCGTACATTCATGTCATCAGAAAAGTCATTCCCTGTAGATTGGTAAGATGAAACTAAAATCAATAAGTTTGGATAATTTTAATCTTAAAAACGACATAATAAATTACAATGAGGCAAGAAATACTTCATCATAAGTACAGGCTAGATGTTTCGGTGATAGTTGACATACCGACTCTATATGTGTATCAAAATGTCTGCTAGTTACGATTTCCGCAACAGCCTGAAACAGCAGCATAAGATAAATTAGAAGTGAAATTTTGTATAGGAGTAAACAAATAAAATTACTGAATCATCCTAATGTCTTGTATGATCAAATCTGACCACCAAAACAAGATTACTTATGGAAGATAAAATGTTATAAAAGAAATTCTGACTTCTTATCCATTGGAACTTACATTGTCAAGAAATATAACATAAACACTCTAATATGCCTTACCTTCCCTTCAAGTCGATGCCCACTTTGGTATTTCCAGATGCATGCTTTTCATACAGCTTAGATATGATATCCATTGAATTGAGTCCAGTATTCTCTGTGAGGGTTCTTGGTACCATTTCAAAACTTTCAGCAAACTTAGCAATGACATATTGATCCAATTTGCAAAATAACCATTTACCCAATTAGCCAGTAGTACAAAATCTACTGTATATTCCAAAATTTATATATATGTGTGTGCAAGTAAAATGTCATCATGACTCGATCATGCCATCATGACTCGATCATGCCATCATGACTCGATCATGCCATTCATGCAATTCAAGAGCAGCACATAATATGCAGGGTGATACTTTATAGTAAAGAAGTAAAAGCAGAAAAATAATAGATCACCCTATTTCCTTAAAGGAGAATTCTTTCAATCTTCTAACCAACTCAATTTCAGTAGTTGTAGCTCCAAGAACTATCCGACTGTCCCTGCACATTGCCTGACAAAAAATACGGCATTAAGAAAGTGATAATGATACTTCCCTTGAAATTTATATCCAAAAATAAACAAAAAAAATGTCTCAAAAGGTAAGAAATACAGAACTCAATAAAGTTTACAGAGGAGAAACAGTACAATACTCGGAAGAATACTTAGAAACAAAGTAAATATTTGGCGACTATCACCTTATATGTATTCACCCCATCATCAACATCTCTTTCAAGATCATCCAATATACTATCAGTACTTCCTCGTAGAAGCACAGTGGATATCTTGTTACCACCTTCTTCACTTCTCACAACAGTGACCTACACTTAATAGATAATACAAAACAAACTGAATAAAAGACAAGAAACCAAATACGAGTAAAAGCAAACTCATAAAACATACCCGAGAACCACCGATTTCCTCAACTGAAATTGAATCAATAAATCCCAAATCATCAGCCATCAGTTGGCTGAGTTTCAACTGTCAAAAGAATTAAAAGCTCATCAGATTGCAAACGAAAGAAACTATATTTTTTTCCCTTTTACTATAATCTAGATAGAATGCTCACAAGAGCGGAAGTTCCTGCTGTGCGACAAAAATGCCTCAGTTCAAATTTCGAGCTGATTTGACACAAAAACATTCGACCAACAAAAACCATCAGTGGCCAGAGAACCAGTAAATAAAATCTTACCTTCCCGTCGATAGGAGCTTGCCTTTGTCGCCCGGAGTCTTGGGGAGCGTTTAGGTCATGGTGACTGTGGGTTTCTACTAGGGCTGCGAGTGGACGAGGTTTGAGAGGAGAACGACGAGGGGAAAGTTTTAGCCAGGGAAAGTTTGAGGGAAAATGAATTAGGGTAAGAGTTTTTACCCTAGATATCCTGCTTTAGTGTTCCTTTAATTTGTGTTTGTTTTTAATTGTGTCTTGTAATTTTAATTATTTGGCATTGTAATCTCTTAATTGACTTGTTTAATTTAATGAGTAATTTCTACTTTGTATGCTTATTTTCATTTTTATATTGTTTTAGTCTTTCATGGCATTTTTAAAATATGAGTTTAAGTTATTAATAGTAGGTTTAATCTTATATTGTTTCATCTTAATGTATGTGCATTTGTATTTCATTCGTATGCATGCATGTATCGTGTAAGCACACTTTAGTTTAGGTAATAATTTAGTCCCTCTTTAGAGTTGTCTTCTTTAAGTAGTTGTGTATATTTATTTTGCATGTTGATATGTTTATGTATAAATATGCAAATGATTTATTTAGGAATAACATAACATCATTTTGCATAATTTGTATGTTAGCTTCATGTGTATAAATTAAACCTTAAATCCTAACACCTAAACCGTAAACACTAAATTCAAAACCCTAAACCCTACCTAAACCATAAACCATAAACCATAAACCATAAACTCTATCACACAATTATAAGGAATGAGATGTCTTAGTTGTATTATAGAAATTTTAATATATTTTTAAAATTTTATAATTATCAATAATGTATTTTTAATAATGTAATTTTAAAAAATCTAAAATTATAATATAACATTTTTTTCGAGCTGCTCACGAGCTTTTCGAGTCGAATATCGAATAGCTCATTTCGGCCCGTTAAGAAATCGAGTCGAGCTTGAGTCGAGTCCATTCGATTTGAGTATTTATCGAGCCTTGATCGAGCCGATCTCGAGTAGCTCGCGATCTGTCTTGTCTCATTTACAACCCTAGCCCTGGGAATTCGCCATTTATGAGAATCACTTGTTGAGGAACTCCCAACGGAGAGATGGTGCCGTTGTTATAATAAATGTATCAAACCCTAAACCTATGTATTATATGTGAGGAAGAAGATGCTTTGCTTTGCTTCTTCCACACTGCCATTGTTGCCCCCATTTTATACTACAATTAGGTCATCCAATCTCCATTTTTGACCGTCCAATTTCACTTGTTTGTTGCTCTATTTTCGATCATCCAATATATGATTCCATCGTCTTATATTATTTTTCAAATATCTTTTTATTCAGTTTATTTAATTATTTTTCTTCGGGTTTTCATTAATTGTAAATTAACCATGGAAAAAACCTATCAACTAATTTTTGTCAGTCGAACAATTAGAGACGTTTTAAAAATTGAATTCTTTAATAGCCTTATAAATTAAAATGATTTGAATCTAATCAATAAATTTAATTGTGCGATTCATATATAAATTAAGCTTATGTTAGATTTGTCTAGAAATTAAGTTGACAAGTTGGAAATTTCATCTTGGTTGGTGGCCAACTTATTGGAAATTTCATCTTGGTTGGTGGCCAAATTTTGAACATGTGAATTTCATATTTGGTGGCTAACTTGTACACATTGAAAAATTCTTTGGAAGGTGGCCAAACTTTGAACACATTGTTCTTAAAACTCAACTATAAATAGGCCTAAGTATTTCCATTAGAAATCATCCCAAAAACAAGTTCTCTCTTCATCTTGTATTCTTTATTCTCCCACTTTGGGAATTCTAAAGAATTCCATTTGTTGTAATATTGGCGATATAGTGAAGTTATCATCCGGTGTGGTGCCCGAGGAGTAGACGATATTCTCGTCGAACCTCGTAAATTTGGTGTGTTCTCTCCTTTATTGTTTTTATTCGGTTCTTTTCCATTGTGTTTCAATATTCAATAGTTTGATAGGTTTATCCGCTGTGCAACCTTTGGTGGTTTTAATCTTGACATTTTAGGTCAATTTTAAAACTACGTTCGTGTGGGAAATAACCCGTTTCCCCCAACAATTGGCATCAGAGCTTTGGTTGAGGTTATCCTAGTGGTTTCGTTGCTGAAAAGATACAGTTCCTGATATTGAATATTGTTCGTTAGAATTAAAATGCCAAAATATGGATCAGTTGAGACATCAAGCTCTTCATCTGGACCGGTGAGGAGGGTAATGTCAAATGAAAATTTCTCGGTGGAGTTTTTCGATGGATCCGGTCATTTTGGCATGTGGCAAGGCGAGGTGTTAGATGATTTATTCCAACAAGGTCTAGACATCGCCATTGAGGAAGAAAGGCCCGAATATATGGAGGAGAAAGAATGGGGAACAATCAATCGTTTAGCGTGCAACACAATTCGATCTTGTCTTTCCAGGGAGCAGAAGTATGGCTACAAGAACGAGACTTCTGCAAGTAAGATGTGGAAAGCTTTGGAGGAAAAATTCCTGAAGAAAAGCTCTCAGAATCGTCTCCACATGAAGAAAAGATTGTTCAGATTTGATTATCAACCAGGCACCAGTATGAATGAACACATCACTGCGTTCAATGAGATAGTGGAAGACTTATTGGGCATGGATGAAACCTTCAAAGATGAAGATTTGGCTTTGATGTTGTTTTCATCTCTTCCAGATGAATTTGAGCACCTTGAGATAACGTTACTTCATGGTAAGGATAATGTTACCCTTAAATATGTAACTGCTACTTTGTATAGTTATGAACTCATGAAGAAAACCAAGAAGGAGAGCAAGTATGAAGCAGCGGAGGCCATGGTGGCAAGAAGTCGCTCGAAAAGTCAAAAGCCAAAGTGGAGAGAGAGATCAAAGTTGAAGTCCAGACTGGGAAAAGATGAATGTGCCTTTTGTCATGAGAAAGGCCATTGGAAGAAAGATTGTCCGAAGCTGAAGAAGAAAGGAAAAGTTGCTCCAGATGCATGTGTTGCAAAGCATGATGCACATGACTCTGACATATCATTGGTTGCTTCATCAACAACATTACATTCCGATGAGTGGATATTAGATTCGGGTTGCACCTATCATATGTCCCCTAATCGGGAGTGGTTCTCCGATTTAGTAGAACTAAATGCAAGAGTTGTTTATATGGGCAATGACAATGCCTGTAAAACTGTTGGGATAGGTTCAATTCGATTGAAGAATCAAGATGGATCAACCAGAGTTCTGACGAATGTCCGATACGTGCCCAGTTTGAAGAAAAATCTTATCTCGTTGGGAGCCTTGGAATCCAAAGGCTCAGTAGTCACTATGAGAGATGGAGTTTTAAAAGTCACATATGGCGCACTTGTGATAATGAAGGGCATCAGGAAAAATAATTTGTATTACTACCAAGGTAGTACAATTATTGGAGCAGTTGCAGCAGCTTCCGGAGGTGATTATTTGGACGCAATCCAGTTGTGGCATATGCGGTTGGGACATGCTGGAGAGAAATCCTTGCAAATTCTGGCAAAGAAAGGATTGTTGAAAGGTGCAAAGGCTTGCAAATTGAACTTTTGTGAGCATTGTGTTCTGGGAAAGCAGAAGAGAGTGAAGTTTGGCACCACTATACATAATACAAAAGGTATTGTAATTTATATTCACTCAGATGTATGGGGTCCTTCAAAGACATCGACTTTGGGAGGAAACCATTATTTTGTAACTTTTGTAGCTGACTTTTCCAGAAGAGTTTGGGCGTATCCGATGAAGTCTAAAGAATTTTCCTGAAATGGAAAAATATGATCGAGAACCAGACTGGTAGAAAAATCAAACGTCTTAGGACGGACAATGGAGGGGAATATAAAAGTGACCCATTCTTTGACGTTTGCCATGAGTATGGTATTGTTCGACACATCACTGTTAGACATACACCACAACAGAATGGGGTGGCAGAGCGTATGAATCGAACACTATTGGAGAAAGTTCGATATATGTTGTCTAATGCTAGGTTAGGCAAGGCATTTTGGGCTGAGGCTGTGATATATGCTAGTCATCTCATCAATCATCTACCGTCATCAGCGACAGGAGGAAAAACACCATTGGAGGTATGGTCTGGAAAACCTGCTACTGATTATGATTCCTTACATGTATTTGGATTCACTGCTTATTATCATGTGAAGGAATCCAAGCTTGATCCGAGAGCAAAGAATGCTCTCTTTATGGGAATCACCCATGAAGTGAAGGGATTTCGCCTTTGGTGTTTAGACACCAAGAAGATAATTTGTAGCAGAAATGTTACCTTTGATGAATATGCCCTAGTAAAGAAGGTAACAATTGAAGCTGTCCAGACAAGTAGTACTCCACAGCAGGCGGAGCATACTCCAAAACAGGTGGAGTTTCAATAGACGATGATCCCAGAAGTTGATGCAGCTGATTCTTCAACTCCAATAGAAGAATCAGAAGATGAAGAGGTTCAAACCCAAGAACCATTGGAGATACCAGAACCACTTGCAGTTACAAGGCCAAGGAGAGAAATTCGTAGACCTGCTCGATTTGTTGATATGGTGGCCTATGCTCTTCCAGTTGTTGATGATGATATCCCTATCACTTACCAAGAAGCAATACAAAGCTTGGAAAATGATAACTGAAAAAGTGCCATGGATGAAGAAATGTAATCTCTTCAAAAGAACAACACTTGGAAACTGGCACAATTACCGAAAGGTAAAAGAGCCATTGGATGCAAGTGGGTATTTGTAAAGAAAGATGGATCTCATAGCAAGAAAGATGTTCGCTACAAGGCACGGTTGGTAGCTAAAGGCTACGCTTAAAAGGAGGGAATCGACTACAATGAAGTATTTTCCCTTGTTGTGAATCATTCCTCCATTAGAATATTGTTGGCCTTGGTAGCACAGTTGAATGGAGCTAGCTCAACTTGATGTAAATACGGCTTTCTTGCACGGTGATTTAGAAGAGGAGATCTATATGACTCAGCCAAAAGGATACAAAGATGGTGGTTGTGAGAAATGGGTTTGTAAGCTGAACAAATCACTATATGGATTGAAGCAATCTTTGAGGCAGTGGTACAAGCGATTTGATAGCTTTATGAGGAGGCAAAAGTATACTAGAAGCAAATATGATCATTGTGTGTATTTGAAAAAGCTCAAAGATGGATCTTTCATTTAT